GGGGTCGGCGGCACTGGCGGCAGCCCTTAAATATGGCGCCGACGATAAGCGACCTAGGATTGGTAGAACAGCCGAGCATCAGCGCGTCATCCACCAGCCTCCTTTCCGAGCCAAGGCCTTTCGATATGGCTCCGCGCAGCTCGCGGTTGCTACTAGCGGTCACTGACACGAGCAGAAAGCACACTTCCTCGCACCTCTGCTGCTGGTCCCCGACTGTGTTGCGCTATCCGTTTCCGTAGCCAAAAGGCTGGCAACCGAAGGTCCTCTCCATAACTCCACAAGAAGACGATTGTGCAATGTTGTGTTTCTTAGCATCTTGGAGGCTCAGCATCCAATCCAAGGGATCTACAGCAAGGCCCCTGGCAGGCTCCTCGCTCGTACTCGAAGTCCAACGGAATTGGCGAGTTCGGCGTCGATGGGCCTTTCGTGGGCGACTTGAGACCCGCAGAAGCAGGAATCGAGGTTCACTGCAAGTACCGCACCCGAGTATCCTCGGCTAAGGTTCGGCCCTTCCGCATAGATGCTGGACGAGTAACTTGGTGCTGCCGGAAAGTTTGGAGTGCTGGGTGGGGGCCCAGACGGCTGTGCTACCTCGACAGAAGAAACATGCGGGTTTGAACATGGGAGCCCTTCCAAAAAAAGAAGTTCACAACATATGCCAGCAGCCTCGGTTCCAGAGACTGGTGACTAATGAATGTGCGGAAGTTCGGCCGCACAATTGTCAAGAACAGCTTCTCGCAAATCATGCCGCCGGACGGTACGGCAGGGAAAGGATGCCATGTTGATCTGATTCCGCCTACTTTGTTGCAACCCGGACACCCACGTCAAACACGAGTAAGGTCTGAAGTGCCGGTTTGATTCGGCATGCTCTGGTGCAGTGTGGTGCATTGCTTGCCCAAGTGGCTGGAATCCACGGCTGCCTCAGGCAGCAAGCAAGAATGAGCAACAAGGGATGATCCGAAGTGTAGCTAGAACCAGCAGGCAGGGGAGTTTGCCGCGTGTCCGACATGTGTCATGCGTCCACTTGTGATATGCATCTCGAGTAACTACGCTGGGCCCCAAACCTTGAAAGTCTGCTAGATAGCAAGAAGGCACTGCATGCAGTTCCTGCTGCAACCTTGCTGGAAACCACAGACACCGATACTTCATGGGCAAGCAGCGCAGTCTTCAAAAAAAGCCATCGGCCGTACGTGTTTCGATTCGCGGCCAACAGCGCAAAACACCCAAGAAACGAAAAGTCCCAAGTGATGCCCTGGCACTGCCGGGCTGGTGTGGCACAGCCGCTAGTCTCAGGGGGCGTGGAAGCAACTGCCCCTGCAGTCAACAAGCATAGAGGAGCCAAACTAGAAACAGTAGAAACATGTAGAAACCTGAGCTACGCGGTGTTGGACAGTTCTTCTTTTCCTCGAATTGCCTTCGGCGGCTTAGGGAGATTTGCCTGTAGCAGGCCTAAAGGCTGCCTGCACCGACAATGGCTCGACTTTCAAGTGGCAGACTGAAGCAGACCATGTTCATGAGAGGAATCCTGGTCACTTGGCCTGCGAGAGGGGAGCCTTCGGTCTCTGACGATGGTCCGACATGCCTTAGGTGGCCGAACAAACGCGTGCTGACGCTTAGACTCTTGCTCTGTCCCCTCTGTAGCATAGGAAAGCCAGTCGAAAAGCCGAATTTCCGCTCGAGGCGGGAGACTTACACGCAATCTCTGCATGTGGCAGGCTCACCAACGCGCTGTGTACCGACACTACCGCAAAGGTGGCACGAACAGCCGGCATGACCACAAGCAAAGATTGGGGGCATCGCTCGACCGCTTTGACAGTTTGTGAACCTCAGCTTCGGATTCTGAGGAGAGGTTGCTGGGCAGCGGGTAGGATGGGAATGGAAGCGTTCAAAAGCACTTACAGCATCTGCTTCGCGCGGCCTGCGCGAAGTGCTGTTAGGAGCTTCTCCAGCTCTAGTTTCTTCAGAGCGACCTGGCAGCTGGGTGCTGTCTAAACAGCTGCGCCCCCCTCTGCAGGTGAAGTCGAAACGAAAATGCCCGCATGGATTCACCAAGATGCCATCTCCCGAAGAGTTTGATTCTCCTTCTCGCGCTGACGCTGCCTTGCGAGAGCTTCGAACACCAAAAATAAGAGTGCATGAATATCACATGTAGAATGTAGAAGCATGATCGCTTCAAATCGCTTCCGTTTGCTGTAGGGCTTTTGTGCTGAGCAGAGAGGCGCAAGCAGAAGAGCAGAAGAACATCGGTGCAAAGGTCTTGGAGATGATAGACCAGGCATGCTGCCGTCACTTGCCCGTCTACTTCAGGCGGCTGTCAGCTGGCCGTCTTTTGTCAACTCGTGACAGCCTTCATCCTATTCAGCACTGGAGTTTGGATGTGGCCTAGCGCTGTACAAGGCGAATGAAGCCCTGTTCGGGCTTTGCTGGCGGCATCACTTTAAAAGCTGAAATTAAGCATTTCACTTCACGAGTCAAAATTTCTAATCGATCAATCACTCTTTGAGCCCTTGGCTTGGCCCTGCGTCAAGTTCAGGAATATCGCTACAGCTTTCTGCACGGCGACGATCAAGCTGGTCACCGAATGCCACAGGAGGAAAACGTGAGGCAGGAACATCGTCAATATGAGAATATCCTGGGCTGCAGCGCAGTGACCAGAGCGGACAGCTCAGGGTGCAGAGATTCAAAGGCACATATGTGTGATTCAGTAGTCAGTAGCCTGGTCTGCTTGAACGCAAACTAGACACCAGGTGACACCCCAAGGCCCGAAGGATTGAAAACTCAAACCCCCGAAGCATCAACAAGCGTCGGCATGGAAGTCTAACAGCAGGAGGCAAAGGTGAAGCGGCATTGTGAATGGAATCAGGAAGCCCCCGCCATAGCCTGCCATCCATGCAACGTGTTCTGCCCCCGGAACCCCAACAGTTTGCCGTCACTCGTCGGGTCAATGTTGATGTGGGAAGGATGCCGCCTCGGAAGCCTTCCAAGACCAAATACCAGCTTGCAAGCCACGGCCAGTCAGAAAGATTCTCTCCTGCCACGGATCATGTTCGTGATGCTTGCATGCTTGTTGGACCACACTGACCAGCTCAGACCGGCAGCAAAGCAGCAACGCAGCAGTACATGATTCTGGCTGTGGCAGGGCATCACTAGTCTGCCATGCGATTCCGGCAACTGCACTCCTGCATAGATATTCTGGATATCCTCCCATAATTTCATGAGAGAAGACCATACCCCTTAGCTTGAAGAAGCCGCCGTCAGTTTCCGATCTCGAAAGCCGCCGGAGCTTTCAAATTGACAGGAAGACGGTTTGCGGTCCAAGTGTCCGTTGGCAGAGGAAGTGAGGCGGCCGTGGAGTGTGAGAAAAAAGGTGAGTCCGAAAAGGACCTGGAAACGGGGTCGTCCCTAGCCAGCAGCTGCTCCAAGCCTCTCTTTGGTTGATCCCACCGCAGATGCAGCAGACCCAACCCCTAGAATGCCCCATAATGACGCACAACCCTCGCGTAAGAGGCGATGCTCCGACGCGAACGGCACCCGATAGCACTGCTGGCACCGAACCTCCAAGGCATTGGACATCGACGAGTGGAGCCAGTAAACCTAGCAATTGGCATGCGGCGCATGACGAGTGCCCCTGTGCATGCAGTCTCGGAGGCCTCTTTGAAGGTCAGATGCGGGTGCAGAGCCCGAATTGGCCATGTCAGAACCGTCCGGGAGATGCTTCTCCTCGGCTGTAGCTTAGGCTCCTTCATGGAAATGAAAAGGGGCTTCAAGCGGAAACCCGCAAATCAGCTTGACGACTTGGTGGGGATCCGTGAGCATGCTGAACCCAAGCGGTCTAACTGTGCCTGGTCTAAATCAGCCTGGTGGCACCGGAAGCTGAGCAGCGTGAATCGCCTAAGTCTAAGTATGGCGCAACTCGGTGCAACGGCCTCTACGGCCGGAAAGATCCGGAAACGAAAAGCGCAAAGGCCTGAGGACATGGACATGGAAGAATCTCCTCACCTCACAAGCCTAGCCGAGGCGCCTGAAGCAAGGCAGTCGCGGAGGCGTCCATTGGCACCGAAACCTGCCCGCTTGCTAGCCAATAGAAACCCCTTCACAGTGACACCGATGTTACTGGCTCGATTTCGCGTCGCAGTCATTCGACTGCCAATGAGTCGAGATGTCTGTCCCGCACTGCCCCAAGCTTTTCGTACGACTTGATACTGACACTATCTTTTGCACTCAAGCGACCAATGCGAAGAACACCGCATAGTGTGTGGCTTAGATTTCTAGATTCTGTCGACTCCACAACCGTTGAGGTTGCAGACTATCTTCTGTTGCTTGGCCAAACAGGCAGCAGGGATTCCTTGCCTGTGCAAAGTCGAAGATGGAATGGTCTGCTGATGCGAACACAACCTCCAGCGAGCTTGGGCTGATAACGGTATTCCGACACGTTGAACTCCGGGCCCGGTGCGTCCAAAGTTTGGCCGTCGGAACGCAAGCGGACAGAGGCCATAGCCAGCTGCTGCCATTTAGCCACAAGCTTGTCCTGGAGTCTGCTCTGTGTTTGATATATGGGTTTTCAGGATCTTTCTGTCCCGCTTGCAGCACTTCCAAGGGACACAAAGAACCAATGGAGCAAGCAGAGTGCGGCCGCTCAAGCCCGGTTCAGCTGAGGTTCACCGAATCTCAGGCCCGACTTGTCGAAGGCCAAGTGCTTCAATTCTGTCCTCTCGGACGTGCGGCGGCACAAAGAATTCAGCTCAAGTCCGGCTGCTGCGTGCTACCGCTCTTCTCAAGCACGCACTCATGCATCACAAGCATCGGCACAAACTGGACAAATCTTCTCGGAGGCCCGCGTCCTGGTCTGCAGCTGACCATTACATTGCCATGCAGCCTTGAAGGAATAGGGCTTTCGGAAGAAGCTCTCACAATGGCCGCTGCACTGTCCAGGAGCGCTCGTGGGGATTGAAACTGATTTCAAGATCACTTGTGAACCGGGCAGCCTTTTGCAGCGAGCATTCGCCGGAAGGCGCGGCCGCGGAAGCCATGGAAGCAGCGGGCGGGGTGATGGTACGATCTCCACCGTTTAGGTGATCCGTGCACGAGGCTCGAAGGAAATCAATTCGCTTACAAAAAGCGCCCGATCTGAACATATGCAACCTCCCCGGGATGTGAGCTTCAACTTGGCAGGCACGCTTAATTGTGCTGTGTGAGCACTGGCTGCATAAGCCCGAAGTCCCCCGATTCAGAGACGGTGCTGTGGTGCTGTACTTGCCTTGACCTGTTCCAAAGTCCGTGAAACAAGCGTGTAGATTGGAGGCATGCATAGGCCCGTGCATCGTGCGGCCAAGCCGCAGGGAAATCGCACGGTAGAACGGCTCGCCAAATTCCCTCCACCTCACTGTGGCCTCTACAGAAACGGCATCAGGGGGACTGAGTCAAACCGAAAAGACCGGTCCAACCCTGCCTAGCAACCGAGTCGCATGGGTTGGTGCCAAGACAGTGGAGCTGCAGTCTGCAATTGCTGGACAGCTCCAGATATGTGCAACGTCGTATGCCAACTATTATGCAGCATACGTAATTCCACGACCACTGCAAGATTCCACTCGCAAATTGTGCAATAAGCTGGTATTCGGGCACTGTCACATTCGTTGGACAGGAACTTTGGAGCAAGTCCGAGGGAAAAGTTTTGCCCCTCAACCTGACTGAAGTACTTGAGGCTTGAAACTGGCCTCGTCAGAGCGAGCTGTCACAGCCTTGGCTTCTCCAACAGGGGCTATCATGTAAAGGTTGAGGGACATCTAAGAGTCTAACAATGCTACGACCGAGGAACTGAGCCAGATCCGTCCGTGCTTGGCGGCATGGGCATGGCTTGTAGCAGCCTGGGCTGCAGCAGAGATCTTCTGAGGGTCTTCATTCACTACGATGCCGGATGTAGTCCTGACTCCTTTGCAGTAAAAGCCATGAACTGTGGATCCTTTGGGGATTGCCAACCTGTCTGCTGGCTTGCTCGCTATCCACACTGAATTACAAACTACAGTCGCATCGCAACATGCCATAATCCATCCGAAAGGCTGATTTCGCGTCTTGGAAAAGATCATGCTGACCTGGGAGCTTCTGCACGTATGACCATTCTAGTGGGCTACAGTTTCGGAATCCCCATACCTTGACTAACCACTGTCGCCCGGAATGAACACCACATTATCTGCAATATGCTTTCTCATGGCCTCCCGTTCCTTCTGGTCCAGGAAGGCCAAGACGTCCTAACACAAGATCCAATCAATCCAAAGAAGATTGCACACTGGATGCGTAAGCTGCTGTCCGATGCGGGATACCCTACGGATGCCAATGCAGTGGTGGCAGCTGGCCGTTTCGTCCAGGTGTGACGCACATTTTCTCACCACAGCCCCGTGATGTTGGGGGAGAATCGCTGTCTATTTTCGTTGTCCAAGAGCAATTCTCGCCTTGTCGTGGTGCCCAGTCACCACGGCACCGTGCTACCACCCCTCGACACGACAATGATACAGAGTTGCGCCTGCAGGAGCTATCATGAAGCGGAAAAAAGTGAGGCAAGATCACCTCCACGCGAGCTTTGTAGTTGTAACCAACTCGAAGCCAAGACGGTGGAATAGTTCAGCGGGTAAAGACAGTCCTTGCCCTGACAATGCGTCCAACAAAGGCAAGCTTGATACTAGTAACAGAATAAGATGAACTGCCACGCCCACCCGGGAAACACCCGGCTTCCGAAAGACCTTGTTGCAGCTGGTGTGCGTCGGCTCAACCAGGACAGAGACAAGAAACGCTACAGCCACCAGGCACCGCTTTAAGTTAAGATAGAACAGTGGACGCACGTCACAAAAATTCTCATTTGAAGACCATACGATTGGGAGCGAAGGCGAGCAAAAACTGTGGAGTCGACTGTGCGCGTGCAACCAGGAGCGCAGCAGCATCTGTAGGAACGGAACAAACCAAGCCGCAAGAAAGACCTAAAAGGGTAGCCTGAAAGAAAAAACTGCGAAGAAGAAACTCCAAAGCCTAAGCCAAAGACACAACAAACATCGCGAGGGATGCCTGTAAAGATTGCTGTTGACCTCTTCCATGCCACGAAGAAACATCTGGGTCCGAGTCCTGGATGGGATCTTTTTGTGCGATGGGGTTTGCCGCTTGCCGATTCGAAAAATTCACTGAGACTTGTCGGTAACCCAGAGATTGCCACTGACAAAATCAATCAAATAGAAGCATCCAGATTTTGCGAAGCATGAATTTCTAACCTGGCCGTGCTTCGTCTGTTGCTTCGTCGCATGCCGTAGTGTTGAACCTCGGCTTTGCACCGCTGGGCCGCAGCCAACTAGGAAAGCTCATGCACGAGTCCAGGGGCAGCCAAGAACCTATACGAATTGCTTCAGCCGACACGACTGATTTTTGGGCAGGCCTTTATGTTACAGCCTTTGGGACCGAACGTTCGACCCTTGTCCACGGCACCTTCCATTCCAAACATCTGCTGCTCGGGCACTGTCCATGCCGGACAACTGTGGAGCACTCCGATGGTGTCGCGGAGGGAGCTGCAAGTTGCGAATGCAGAACTGCGATCTTGCGCTGAAACAGGACATGACTTGCAACGCTCTCGGCCTGTTCCCTCCTGCACTACGCCAAAGCACGACACAAATCTGCGGTGACATAGGCAATTTCTGAACTAAACTGCCCAGCTCGCAGCAAGAGAGGCCTGAAACGCCCCTGGGTGGATTCCTGGACGGGACTGGTTGGCTTTCTTACTGACCACAGGCTGCCTTTAGACTACGAGGTTTCGGGTCTGCGCATGTCGTCTGGTTTGCATGTCGAGTCTGCCGGATCATCACACACACTCTTATGCAGTAGCGAGTCGGAGCAGCCGTTGCCGGCGTCGCCACCGGTGTGGCCACCGGAGTCGTCGCCACCTCCCGTGCAGACAGTGGCACATCTATGCGAAGACTTCGCTGTCGGGTGCAATCTCCGCTCAGCCCGGCACACCAGCAGCCGACGCCACTGAAGCGGTCGGGGATGGCGGCAGGTGCCCAGACGACGAGTCGATAAGACTGTCCTATGTGGGCAGAGGCAAACCCGAAGCACCATTTCGACCCCTCGCCCACGGCAAGACTTGATAACGAACACACGCGTCGGAAGCCCATGTCTCCGAAGCACCATGTCGTTTCTTTATGTTTCTTCAGCTAAGTCTTAGAGCCCTCGCTGGCAGAGTACGGACTAATCGGGGAGTGGTACGAGTCGCCACCTTTCACAGGTTCAGTCTCGTTGTGCAAATTCTAGTTTCAGCTGATTCTTTATCAGAGAAGAGAGCTTGACAGAGCCCCACGCAACGACATGTTCGATATGTTTGGTCATCTGGCGCAAATCTTTGGGCTAACTGTTGTCTTTCGACTTCGGAGACCGACCGATTTCTCCTCAATGGTCATTGGCACTGATCACTGGTGAACCTACACCGTCGGCAACTAAGGCCTCGGATCTTCAGCGCGGGCTCGGACGATCTGGGGTTCAGAAAGTTTCGAGGCCAACTCTACCCAACCATCTTTTCGTGCGGAGGCTAAATTTGCCTGCCGTGTACCAAGATGGGTCCACTACCGGCCCACGTTCTGCGGCTCGACCGGGAACAGCTGCGACTCTTTGTCTTCGTGCCGCCAAGTTTCTGGGAGCAAGCTCGGGTCCTGCAATGTGCTGAAGCCCCAAGCTAGAATGACAGATAGTTAGTGAAAGGTTTGGCTCGTCGAGATATGTCTCTGCCTGCTTCGGTCAGGCTGCAATGTCATGGGTCATGTCCAAGCGAGTGGGCTAGACAGAAGTGTGCCGAAGTAGAACCGCATGCACACGCCAGAAGGGTCAGCTTCTATGGGAAGCCATCAAGCTGCCTTCCAGCTTTGCTGGCAGCTAGCTAGAGCAGGGTATTACGGCATTCGGGTAACATCGACCAACTAGACTGACCCGAGTCGTCCCTGCATCTTTGCACTCGCAGCTCAAGCACCATTGAGATTTGGCCTGATGTCGGACAGGCGCCGGCTGGCTGGGTGTCTGCATAGGCGGCGTCACCCCACCTTGCGCATCGAGCCCATTTCCACGTACACAGCGAGGGCGACTTCCCAGCCTTGCCGGCTGGGTACCTGGGCCGCCTGGGCCGCCTGGGCCGCCTGGGCCTGGCTGCGCGCATGCGGCGCCCCAGGACCCCCGGGATCCGGAAGCATCAGCTCAGGAGCTCAAGAGGCGAAGTCTACGGAGATCCATTCCGCTAGGGCCGCTAGGGCTCAGAGACCAGGCATAGACAAGACCGAGATCGTTTGCTTCCGTGAAGTTTTGGGCCGAGCTGAGCAGGGTGGTGCCTCCGCGCACGGAGAGTGAGGGTTGTGGGCTGGGGTCCATGCCGGCCTACCTGTCGGCTGTTGCTGACTGGCGCGTAGCTAGTGCCTCCTGGCTCCAAGGGCTACTTTGCACATGGTTTGCGGGTCATGAAGGATCAAGATATGCGAACCAAAAACGTGCATCTTGAGCCAAGGTAGTTGGTCGGGCCGAAACATGAAGAAAGTCAGATGCTGGAAGAGGGCTGAATAACAAGTGCCAACGCAATTCGTCGAGGTGCTCTTGCATTCCAAGTTCTCGAAACACCCGGACCGTAGATCTCCTCGTTCTATGATCCGAGAACCATCGAGGTAGTCAGAGATCAATTCTGTATACCGTGTGGCTCTCTTGGGACTGGGGTTTAGAAATCCAGGAAGCAGGACTCACGCATCTTTTTGAGGGTGTGAACCCTCCTGAACTGGAGCGCTCGATCTCGTCAGCCCTCTATGATACGCTGAAAGATTTGCTCCGCTGGGCATAGTATGCAACAGTGGTAGAGCTGGCATGCTGCAACACGTCGTGGCATCCCGCCGCTCAAATCATATCATGAGACCTTTTTGCAGCAGACATCTGCAGACTGCTCTACACGGCAACAATTTGGGTTGCTGGCTCCTCCACGCTGGCGTAACAGACACAGTGGCCATCCAGGGTGACCCCAACACACTCAGCATGTCGCAGCTGCTTAGTGCAGTCCTCGCCGAGCAGAGGGCGAAGCAGCAGCTGTGGGAAGTGCAGCATTGCTTGTTGCCACTTGTTTGCAACTGTCTGGTTCGTCAGCTGCTTCGTCTGTCCACGCACAGCACCCACCTCCGCCCAAAGCTTCTCGAAGTCGTTAACAACATCAAGCTGCACCGGCGGGCCTACTGTAGCCGTCGTGTGTCCCAGGACGATCGGGTCCACCATGCGTCCGTTCACTTTGAAATCCACGTCTTGCAGCAGTGGACTAAAATCAAAGTCTCGCGTCGGACGCAACAAAGCCTTATCATTCAGGCCAAGCGCCCAAACCAATACCCAGCCCCGGCTTTTGGCCCAGATCTGCAAGTTCGCCCCTAGCTCTGTGCCAAAAAGCACGGGGAAGGTGCCTATCAAGAACCGAATCGCCTCAGGATAGTGCAGTTTGCTAAGATGTGTAGCCTCCAAGTAGTTTAGGAACAAGTGGCCGGGGACAGGACTGGAACCCCAAGGAAGTTGCCCTCTTTGGAACGCAGACTGAACGGTGCCACCGGATTTCCAGAATTCCATGTTGTTCACGAAGAGGTGCCTGTTGTGCAGAAATGTGCCCAGCCCTTCGAATGCTGTCTCTGCGCTACAGTTGTAGGACAACCTGGGGAAGGTCTTCCCATTGATGCAATACTGCTGGAAAAAACCGCTGTCGACTGAAGACAACAAGGTGCTGTTCAAAATGTGTTTGTTCGAAAACACTGCAGAGACATCCCCATAAAGTGGGCTCCCTGCGTCAATCATGTTCAAGTTGACCATGGAATATACGGGCCTCTCACCAGCTTCGATGAGCGTTGCCGGCGCAGCCGGCATGCGGAATGGCTTTAGCTCATACTGAATGGTTTCGGCCCGGTCTTGCATCAGGAAAGCCTCGGTGTTGTTCTTCCTAACATGGATGTGGCACTCCCCATCTGCCACATGGACTTGAGTAACCAGCGGCAGACGTGAAGGACATGGGACCACTCGCGTCCCAGCAGGGGATTCCAAGTCAGATGCACCCGTCTGGTGAATCGCTGTCCAAATGGAAAGAGACACCATCTCACTGATCCCGCTTGCTGCTGTGAAACGCATTACGAAGTTCTGGTCAGCTGTGCCATAACACTCGTTCAGTGAGTAGCGCTGCTGCGGCAACGGTACACCCGAACACCCACCAAACCACTTCTTCACCAGCACCTCTTGAAGGGTAGAGTCAACTGAATATGCTACATACGTTGCTTCGATCTTGTGCCAGACACTGTGTGGATTCGCCGAGTGCAGCAAGACGGCTTCCCAGTCGTTGAGGAAGAAGGAGCCAGTCAAACCGAAACTGATTGACATGCCAGCCGAATCTCCAGTCTGGGATGGGTCATGCATGGCCGGGAAGCCAGAACAAACCTCGGCGACCTCAAGCTGCTTGGATAGCCTCTCCATCAGCTCTTCAGAAGGAAGGTTCACCAAGGACGGACAGCACTTGCTGAGGTGGGAACGGAAATCGCCAGAGTCCAAAAGGTGCAGGAGCTTTGGCTCTGCTGCCCTCGACTGCTCCGATGCACGCCTAGCCACCTCATCGAACACTCTTTGCTGCCAGGCACTCATGTCCGTGCACACGGCACACGAGATAAGGAATGAGCACCATGGAACATGAAAACGCATCTTGCTACGGCTTTAGAGATGCTGAAAGGCATCGGTGCCTTGATAGAAAGAACCTGTGCACCAATGCAATTCTTCAGCCAAAGAAATACCAGCAGCCAAACAAGTGCTTGCTGCTCCGTGCAAGGGCTCTTTCTGCATCATCCGACTCCGAACAGTCACCTTTGAAAGAACCTGGTCCCTGCCGGCAGATTCGTACGTCGAGGAATTCTCTGCCGTCCTCTCAACGGGCACACTGAATTCAGCAGCACCTGTGGCCCTGACCATATTTCTTGAACGAAGGAAGAAGTTCTTAAGAAGTAGCTGCTAGCCTTTCGACCGGGAGGACCACGGCAAGTTTTCCACAGGCTCAAAAGCCAATCCTGATATTTGGCGGTCCTCGTGGGAGGCCGAAATTCCGACGCATTCAATCTGAAGCTTCCTCTTGCCAGTCTTGGCACCTATGAGGACGCAGGGCTTCATGGGGCAACCCCACTCAATCAGCAAGCGCATTGATGCCGCCAATTAGGCCAATCGCCTGCTCACAGTATTCTGCAAAATGCCAGCCTCCGGGATCATCAGGGCGTTTTCCTTTGCCGTGAAGCTGAAGCGAACCTGCTCTTTTTGGGTGCGAGCAGCTGTTGGATGCGAGCTTCTCCATACTGTTCTGGCTATGCCAGTTTCAAAACAGGCATGGCGCGGACCGTCTCCAGACTAAATAACTCATCGTCAGGGTCATGGACGCGAGCTGCGAATTTCTGAATCAGCAGCTGACATTCCAAACCCAACAAAACTGCAACCGGTGTAGATAGTCCGAGGTGTGGACCTCGTTGTGACAAAGCTCGCCTGGCAAGCCTGTCGCCCACGACAGGGAATCCTTGCCTGACGCAGAAGTGAAGCTTCCCCCCCCTCCAGCTGCCCCGGTTCCATCGGCAGAGTGTTGCATCATCTGCGCCCGCAGCTCAACCGAAGCGCTTTACACTTCAAGCAAGAAGCCGTCGCATCAGGTGACACAAAGCACCACAGCACCTGGAGAAAAACGGACATAGGAATGCAGCAAGTCCGACCACGCAGCTGATGGATTCCAGTGCCCATGCTTGTTTTGAAACCAGGGTCCCTCCATGTCCTGCTAGCATGTCTGGAGCCATCTGGAACCCATGTTGCAAACCCTCGACCAATTCTAGTGGTTCTTACGAGGCACCTTCCCGCACCCACAACCTGCAGGTCTACGATGCTGGTTTCCTCGTGCTGCACATCGACCTTGGCCCGACAATAAGTGTTATCACCTGGTTTCGGCTTCTATGACTTCACATACCATAGACGCATTGTGCTGCACGCAGGTCTGCATTGCCGGACTTGGTCGAAGTGGAAAGACAGAAAGACCAGCGGATCAGGGGCCCCTTGCCACGTGACAGACCACTATGTTGTCAGCCTGGGGCACTGGCATGTGAAACTGCCCAGGAATTTCTGAACGAGAACGGACTCTTCGTTGGTGTGCTCTGCATGCTTCTCGTGACATGCCTATAGGGCCGGGCGGGCTGTTCTCCTTCCCCTCCCGCCGCCATGATTTAGCGGTGGATGTTGGCTGGTTCAACCGGTCGTCTTGCTTGCTTACTTAAACCCCCCGGCCGCCAGGGCCCCTCACGTGTTATGGGAGATTGGACGGTGTCGTGAACTTTACCGGGCTGTCTTTCTGCCGGGTGTAGGGGTCGTCTGCGCGACCCTCAGGCCATAGGCCCGCTCAACCACACAATGTGTTACTAAGTGGTTTGGCATTGGGCTCCCACCTGACTGCTGCACAAGAGTACGAAGTCTGCGCTGTGCTTCATGCTGCAAGCCCTCCGACCCCATACACTAGGTACCCCCAACCTGCATCCCGGCCTCATCCCCGGGCCCCAGAATACAACACGATGTAGTGTTCATCCCCCGCAGTGGGTCTGTGCTTGAGCGTCGGGGGACAGTCGACAGAACACGGGGCAGTCGACTACATCGTGTCAATAATGATTCCAGTCCCCCGACTTGCTCTGGCTCTTCAACTTGCACTCTGTAAGCTGTGAAACTGCCGCGGTTCTTATTGGGGGGGGGG